ATCATTGGCTTCAGATTATGATGAAGCCTCTCCAAGTTGGGGAGAATGACAGAGCGCTGGTTTGGTTCAATAACCCCCCCCCCCCCCCCCCCCCCCCTTTTTTTTTTTTTTTTTTTTTTTTTAGTTGTTTATTTTATTCTTTTTTTAGTCTTTAACACATTTAATAAAATTTTATTTCCTTCAACCAGCCTTAAACTTATAAATAAGGCAGCCTTAATAAACTTTTAAATAGGGTAGCCTTAATCTCATAATCTTAAATTTTGGATGTTAGAATAGAATAGAGAAAACTATTCTTAGTTCCTTCCTCTGTATCCTGGAATTCCTTCCAGGCTGTAGTCCAATCCTCCTCCTCCACCGGTTCCTACCTTCTCCGCCGACAGCAACAACCATCTCTTCCTCCGGATCCTGCTCTATAGGTGACTAACACCTGCAGCCGTCGGCCCTGCCTCCCCTACAGACAGCACCAGCCCTTTCGCCACCAGATTCTCCTGCACTTTCGCTGGATCAGCCCTCTACAGCGTCCGGACCCCTCCTTCACACCAGCAGCCACTTTCTTGCTGCTGTCCACTCCATCCAACAACCAGGACGGTCCAACCATCAAGCAACAAGAGTTCTTCCTACCCTTCCTGCTGCTATCTTTCCTTCCAGCGCTTCAGCAGGGGGTTTTCAACTGGTATTATAGCTGCTGTCTTTTCTCCATTCTCAAGAAAGTAGCAGTCTAGGAGAATTCTGACCTTTTTACTCAAGAACACATCTAATTACTAGTTACAAGGTGCTTGTCTTCTTTTATCATTGTTTTGTACAATTTTTTTGTGTCAGAATCCTAGCATTTGACATTTGATGGCTTTTTCTTCAGTTTGTATAATTTCCACAAGAGCTAGGATTGTGGTTTTTTGTTTCTAATAAAGCCTTTCCTCTTTTCTTTCCCACTATATTACAATTTTTTAATTTGTTTTTTATTTGTATAATTCTTTTTTCAAAACTCGGCCTCTTATACTTATAGTAATCTCTTCCCCCTTCTCCCTCTCTCTATCACACACAATCTCAATTGAATCCATGAAATGCGCAGCAATGTTTAGGCAAATTAATTTCTTGATTACCGTAAAAGGAAACTTTTATAGAAGGGAGACAGATCCAATGTACATTTTTTTCTTGTATACCTTGGACATCAAGGTCTGTAATATTAGTAGCAGTCATTTATTGAATTTTCCACCTATAGAGGGAGGTATGGAAGGAGCAAGGGAGTTATTTTAAAATCCTTAATGTGAACACTTGATGGCAGGAGATATTACATCAATGCTAGTGATCAGTGGTACAAGCTCATCACAAGCTTCTATCCGTGCGTTGTTCTTTTTAATAGATTTGCAGGGTTTTTTGTGGATGGTGCTGAACTATTTCTGATAGATTTTTGCACGGAACTGTAAACTTGTTTTTTTTTTCTTCTTGATTGCTTTAGTCATCATGAAATTTCATTAGGACCATCCTTTATTGCTGACAGTCTAAAACATCGTCTAGAAATTAGATTTTTTTAAACTGTTTTTCCCAGCAGCCCGAGTATCCATTTTTGTTAAATGATTTTTTTTTTGTTACATTTTTTCTAAACCTCTGATTGTGGAGAATATTGTCATAAGTTTCTAGTTTACCATTTGTGGTCAAGACTGCTTCCCAACCCCCCATTGGATCACTAAAGATTTTTTTTTCCCTAACTTTCACGCATGGCATACTATATTGGCTTATCACTGTCTTCAGTTTTTGGAACGTCAGGCAATTATTTGAGATTATATCTGCTCTAATATTGAGCATTAGTGCATTACTTTAACATATTAGAATATCATTTATGTTATGTTCCTGGTCGGTTGAGTCATCCTTCCTGTTCCATCTTTGTTATCTAGACTTAATGTTCTTACTTTTTGGAGTTGATTTAGTATGCAAATTGCAGTGGCATCTTTCAATAACTACGTATCTAATATCATGACTTCTATTTATGTATTTTTTTTTTCATAGATGCAACATACTTTTATCGATTATCTAAATCTATAAATTCACTCTTTGATGTTTACTATAATAGCTGTGTTGTTTTTTATTTCTTGCTTGATATGTTAGCTATTATTTTAGTTTTTTTTTTTGCTCCAGGTATCTTTTCAAATATGATGTAGAAACATAAGAAGAAACAGACACAATGGATAGAACTTAAAACAAACTTTATTAAAATAGAAACAGACAGCTAAGACTTGACAAACACAACAAGAAATATTAGAAGAAATAAAGAAAAAAAAAACGCTATCCTCAGACAACCGTCAGAGCGGGTTCCTCACATGCATCGAATAGTAGATTAAATAAAAGAAGTGCATAAGACTAGCAAACCGATGGTCCACCACTACAAGACTGTCCCAAATGTTTCCAAATCAACCAAGACACGACACCCTAAAGTTGCTTCACTGTTGAGAAGAAGGATACAGATGGAGTGGATCTTGCGGAGAGACGAAAGAGGTTAGAAGCCCGAGAAGAAAGGGTGGAAAGAGCCCGCAGGATTTCCGGAGGGGATGAGAAAAGAAGGGTGGAAAGAGCCCGTAC